GTAAAAGTATGAAGGAAAGGTTTCAACTTTATGTACCATTTGCCCTAACATAAAAAAACGAAAACATTTTAGGTAGCTGCTACTAACTCGCAAACGTACTTGTATTACTATCAATGAATTGCGGGAAGGGAGGGGGGGGGGAACTAACGTAGCGCGTAAAGCGCACGTACTGGGCAGCGGGAGCTTCCACAAATGTATGTTTTTTGAAAATAACTTGGTGACGATATAACTCAACATTTTTGTTCTAAACGACATAAAAAGAAAAAACACGTATTTCATTATTTGTCGTAAAGATTAACATACTAAAATTTGGAGAGTGGTTTTAAATGCTTCTTGTATATGTACTTGCCTTTACTTTTACTCTCCACATCACCTAAAGGTTGACTGCCTAAGGCTTTTATTTCGCCTTTTTATGACAGTACATTAACTATTAAATAAATAAATACGGGTATATCATGCCGTTATACATGTAGTTCAACCTTAACCATCATATCACCTACCCAACATTATGCTTTTACTAGTCGTAGCAGTAGATGTAGCTGCGTAGCAGAGCCAGTAGACTAGTAGAATATCCTATTGACAGGCGCAAAACTAATTGTATTATTTCAAGTCAAACTCAAAGTCAAGTCAAAGTCAAAGTAATCTTTATTCAAATAGACTTCTTAAAAGTAATTTGAGTTGTCCAAAATTTTTTTCCTACCACTCGTCCGGGACATCTTTTGGCTGATAAGATTTACAAAAACCATATCATTACCAAATCAATACATTATAAATAGAGAGAGAAAACTAATCTATGGTCTTATAATGATAACATAATCATTTAATAATAATGACAACAAGATAATTTTTGATATATAATGAGTTAAGAAGTAATCACCTATCCAGTTGCTGGACCAACTTAAGTCCAAACATTCTTATAAGTATTTTTTAATAGTAGATTTAAACTACATACATGATATCTAATTGTTGTATTTTGCTTGGGACCTTATTGTAGAAGCGCACACAAAGACCCCTGAATGTGTTATTAACTTTTTGCAGTCTAGTGACAGGCACCGTTAATTTATTTATCAATATCTCTTTAAAAAGTATAGCAATTAATGGAATTATATAACTTTAAAAGTTGCATCAAATAACTTTAAAGAACAAGATACTTATTAAAAATTAGAGATGCGCCGAATATTCGTTTAGTATTCGGTATTCGGCTTCTTTTTCAATATTTGTATTCGGCCGAATTATTCGGTTTCTTTGCCGATATATTCGGTTTGAAATATAAACAAACAAATAAGTAAGTAATTGAATTCTAATAAAGGTAACAAAATTTTTATTTGTTACTTATTACGTTTTTGTGTACTTACACGTATCTAAATCTTTTAACAATAAGTTAAGAATCTACTTACTACTTATCTTACTTAATTACGTGGAAACAAGCCATAAGAGGCTCAAGAATTCACCATGACTCGGGGAGGTATTATTATTTTAAAAAATTGGTATTTTATCGCGCCGACAGCGACGACGACATCGATGATAGCAAATAGTGATCTATATATGCTATCTGTAGTTCAATGTATACTAGATGTTTACGCTTTTTGAATATAATGTTGTGTACACACGCTTTTGGAGTGCAGTCTCGCCCTTATCTTTATACATGTTTTTTTATACTTTATTCGATTGTAACCTGTTGTATGAACCTTTTTAAATAAATAAAGTGTATTAGCAACTATTTAAGGATGTCAACTAATCTAATAGTTGTGTATGTAGTGTCTATAGTTTAGAAGATATAACGTGACATTGCCAGAGTGACGTGAGCTCAGCAGCGCCACATTATATCTTAATAATCTCTAAAATATTTAGCCATTTATCGCTACTATGTGCCAGACCGATAAATATGAGAGTAAAAGTTGACCGGGACTAGACGAATCAAGAATTCGTTCCAACATCGAAGAGGGTGGCTTCAATGTTGGAACGAATTCTTGATTCGTCTAGTCCCGCTCGTAATGGGGACAAATAGCAAAGTTACGTGGTTTCGGAGATAAACGAGTCTTCGTGGCGCTGCTGGGTTGATGTCAGACTGGCAGCGAAACGACTCGATCTCTGTGCTTATAATGATTCATAGAAACCCTTTAGGTCAACTTTTACTCTCATATTTATCGGTCTGGCACATAATAGCGATAAATGGCTATATATTTTAGAGATTATTAACATATAATGTGGCGCTGCTGGGCTCACGTCACTGGCAATGTCACGTTATGTCTTCTAAACTATAGAATTTAAGAAGTTTTTCTTTTAAAATATCAATTCATATTAGTATGAGCTCATAAAACATTCTCTAGTATCATGAAGATAACGCAACTTATCTCAACAAACCACAAAGTATTTTACCACTCTGATTATTCCAATGGAATGTTCTAGTCTCATATTATTGTGACTAAATATTGTTATAACGTGACCAAACCTAAAATCGTGATAATTATAGATCAAAAACAAATGTGTAATGCCTGCTGAATTATTGTTTGGTAAGTGTGTGTGTTTGCTATGATTTTATTATCAGGAGCGCGACTGCGTAACTCAACTTGTATTGATATGTAAGTTTCGAACTTTTCAAATTTCAGTTTTTTAATATGTTAGTTAAAAGGAACGGAAATGACTGTCTTTAGTCCATTCGTTTCGTGCAAAAATCAACTTTTGCTAGAGTCGCCATCTAGTGGAGGTGATTTTTTAGTGCTTTCGTTTTTTTTTAAATACTTCCTCATTGTGGCGACCTATCCGCTCCAATTTAATTTTTCCAATTTACTACTCTGCTTAGGGGCCGTCCATAAATTACGTCACAAAAATCAGGCCCCTATACGTTACTGGAAATCCTCGCACGGATACTACTTTTTAATTATTCTATATTATCTAATATTTAATAACTTCAATTCAATTTTTATTTTACACTTTTTATTTTAAAAAAAAATATCAAAATCGTAGTTTCATATGCACGATATATATTGGATATTTTGATATTTATTATATCGGATTTTTTAATGGATCAGGATATCAAAATAAAACGAATAAGATTCGTATTCAAACATTTATTTAAGAAAACTTAAACATAATCTTTACAAAGAAACTTAAACTGTACCATTTCTTTTAAACTCAGTTTCATTAAAATAATAATATTAAGTGGAAATGACTGTAGATCACGGAATAGTTAATAAAGTTGCCATAGGAATTTATACTCTACGTTCATATAAATACAAGGTTAAAATTTAAGTACATCTAAAAAAATAACCTTTCCATATAAAATGTTTATCCAATTATTGATGTTATAGTTTATTTTGCTTTGCGAATTATGAAAGAAAACGCTATCTTCTGTCTTGTTTCTTAAATAATGGAAATAATGTAGTCACATGCGCACGCGGCTTGATGTCAGATTTATTTGTGAGGTAACCAACATTTATGTGTTTCCTGAGACAATATCATGAACTTTTCAAAATGTAACTGCACCCATATAATATCTGACATTATCTATTTTTATATTCATAATTAATAGTCATAATTCCCGTATTTCAGGCTATCGCCCCTTTCAGACACCAGTTCCTCGCAAAGTCGACAGGCAATCTTCTTTTTTGTAATTGTGTTTAGTCAATAAACATGTAAGCATGTTCTTGTATTTGTGAGGAAAATAAATTCAATTTTTATTTTTTTATATTTTATTTACTTTTTCGATATTTTGCAAGTGGGAATAATAATTGTATTGAATGATAGTTTTATGTAACAAATATATTTCCGACAGCGGCTTGGCCCGCGTGCCCTTGTATTAGACATAAAAACCTTCCTAGTAAAAAAAATAAACCGCATCAAAATCCGTTGCGTAGTTTTAAAGATTTAAACATAAATACGGATATAGGGACAGAGGAAGCGACTTTGTTTTATACTATGTAGTGATAATACTGCTAATTTAATAATGTTGATATGTGAATTTGTAATTTTATCAATATCTGCATGCTATTGCTGATGGCTAAATGCGCTGAACTCAAATTGTAATTTAAATCTCCAGTGTACCTCATTTAAAACAAATAAATTTTTATTGTTGATGCCCCGATACAAATTTTAGGTATACTTAAAAATTAACCGTGTAAATAAATTTATTTTATTACTATTTTTGTCTACTTCACAAATTCGCAGCTTATGCTGCTTTAGACGCAAATATTTTTAAAGGCTTTCGAGAAACGTTAAACAGATTAAAACATTCGTTACAAAAGCGATTGCTGGTTTCAGTTTCAGCAATTCCGAAAACCTCTATCACAATCCATATAAAAGTGATCGCGACAGATTTTGAAATTAGACACTTATCGCAAGATGTAACTTAAATCAATCGAGGACATCCCAAGACACTAAAAACTAGGACAATATCCGGAGAAAAAAAGAATGTCTGGCAACCCTAGCGTAATACAACTTTTTAAATCTATTCCATGAAAAAAACATCAAATTAATTAACACAAATGCAAAATATATGATACAGAGTAAGACATATGACTGGCTTTAAACGAGACATTTTTCGGTTAGAGAGAGAAGATACTCTATTTGTCTCTTTCTCTCATCAATGACTATAATCTATCTCTCTCTCTCTCATCAATGACTATAACATATCTATCTCTCTCACCAATGACTATTACCTCTGTCTTTCTCTCTCTCCCTCCCCCCCTCCCCATTATTGGTTGTAACACATCTCTCTCTCTCATTAATGGCTATATCTATTTATCTCATCGATGACTATTACCTCTCTCTCTCTCTCTCTCTTTCTCTCTCTCTCTCCCTCCTCCCGTCCCCATTATTGGTTGTAACATATTTCTCTCTCATTAATGGCTATAACCGACCTGTCTCTCCCTTTAAAGGCTGTCACATATCTATCTCTTTCATTACTAACATATCTGTTTATGTCATTAATTGCTGAAAAGGCGATGTTTTGTTAATTTATTTAATGTTATTCTATATTAGATTCATTTCAATCTCTTCGTTCACTGAGCGACTTCCATCATTTGTGGAGCATCTGTAATAATACATAAATAATTTAAAATTATCTCTGTAAGAGGATCTTACAAATATAATGTAGTTTAAATTTTTTTAACTATTGAAATGCTGGAAGAAAAGTTAAGCAACTTTTGCAAAGGCCGATCATGGGATGGGTGACCGTATTTTTATAGTCTTTCTCCACGCTTCGGAAGGCACGCTAAGCCGTTTGATCGTACCAGCGGTTAATACCCACCAATCCGTGCTGGGCCCGCGTGGCCCATCCATATTGTAGGCCTGCGCCGAGGTCTGATCATGATGAAGGCAACTCACCACCGGAGCCGTCGTTGAACATGAACTCGTCCTGGTACTCCTTCAGGAACTGCTCGGAGCGGTGCTCGTCCAGGAACAGGGAATACACCTTCTTGACATCCTCCATACTCACCTTGGGAAATAACATTTACAAGTTCATTTTCAAATTGCTTTCTATCCCGCAACTTAGACCGGCTAAATTATCCGCGGTAGAAGCTTCAGGTAAAGGGCCGTCCATTAATCACGTGACGCTTGAAAGATGGGGGGGGGGGGAACGTAAAAATCACGAAATAACACAAGGGAGAGGGTGTTGGCGTAATATATCACATGTATTTATTTATGTCCTAAAAGCAGCGTCAAAAATTTAGTTTTTTTTTGTATGTACTAAAAATACAGTGGAGGGGCGGGACGTGGAGGGGGAGGGGTAGTGTTAAACTTCTCCACGAAGTGAAGTTAAGGAAAATACTGAAAAAAATGGAGAAATAAAGAAAGTTTTAGGAAACTTTCTTTATTTCTCCATTTTTTTCAGTTTGATTTAGGAAACTAATGTTTTTTTTTTTAATATTTTGATTATTATAATGTTCTGATTTCGATAAATATCGAACATCGATGTTGAGCTCACACTGATGACATCGATGTCAAAATCGATGTTTTTCTAATATCGACTACCGAAAGTAACCTATTATACAAAGAAAAGATATACCGCGATTCAGATGGGCACAACGCCATCTACCATAAACGAGAGTGAGCAATGCGATTTATATTAATCTATAAAGTTAATTTATTATTAATAAAGTTAAGTTAAAGTTAAGTTAATATAGGTTGGAGAAGACAAAGGCTCCTGAAACACAGTTTTTAGCTAGCTCGGGAGCCTTTGGATTCATTAAGTTTTGTATTATTTGAAATTATGTCAATAAATACATTTTTTACTTTGTTACTCGGTTAGTGCTTACCTCGGTTGCCTTCCTACGTTTGGCGACAAGCGACGCGGTGGTGATCAGCTGTATGGCGTAACGCAGGGACGTTTCAGTTGCTACCCTCGTCAATACCGTGAGGGCATCGTTAGACATCTGGCAGTCCTCTTCCTCGCATCTGGCATACACAAATATATATAACTCAAAGGTGACTGACTGACATAGTGATCTATCAACGCACAGCCCAAACCACTGGACGGATCGGGCTGAAATTCGGCATACAGGTAGATGTTATGACGTAGGCATCCACTAAGAAAGGATTTTGATCGATTCTACTCCCAATGGGATAAAATAGGGTATGAAAGGTTGTATGAAACTTTGTCAATTTTAAACCGATCGGGCTGGCTTTGCATGCATAAAGCTACTACGATATTGCCTGCGTCATCCCCTAAGAATGGATTTTGATAAATTCCATCCCTATGGGGATAAAATAGGGGATGAAATTTTATGTCAGATATTTTGCACGATATAATAAATAAATATTCGTTAGAAATGCTGCTCAATGTAACTTTACCACGCGGACGAAGTCGCGGGAAAAAGCTAGTATGTATATAAAAACTCAAATGCTAAGGCGCTTTTGTACCCCCGCTTGTACCTATGTACATTCCCAAACAAAAACGCATCGAGAGTAAAGACGCGCTAGCTTGATTCCATGAATTTTTATCACAGAAAAAAAAACAAATACAGTAATTTAAGAAATATGTAAACAAAATATATCAAAATCTACTTTTTACATATTGTTTATATAGTTAAGATGAAATATACTAGTATTTCAGCTCGGTGGCGTAGTGGATAAGCGCCGCGGCCCGCGATAGTTGTTGTTAAGCAACTTTCGCAAGGGTCGGTCATGGGATGGGTGACCGAAATTAAGGCTACTCCGTGCTTCGGAAGGCACGTTAAGTTGTTGGTCTCGGATGCACTTGCAGTCGTTAATACTCTCCGATCCGCATTGGTCCAGCGTGGAGGATCATGGCCCATCCTCCTTAACCATCCATAAGGAAGGTCTGAGCCCCTGCGGTGGAGACGAAACAGAGCTGATGATGATACTAGTATTAAATTGATCCAAAAACCTATTTAGAGTCATCTTTGCAATATGTACAATCGTTGACAGTATGAAACAGCTATTTTTTTCGTGCTTTCAGTGTTGCTCCTATAGTAAAAGTCGTTTAGAATATATATATTTAATTAATCCACCCCACGAAGTCTTGGCATATAATATTACACCTTATATATTGTAAAAATTTTGACGATGCGTATAAGCGAATCTACTTTTATGACATGATGTAATTAGATACTGTAAGATTTTTTTTCTCTTGTGATTTAAATTTAATTGAACTATGAATTGTGAACTGACATACCTTGTATAACAATATTGTTATAAATGGCTAATAAATAAATTGAAATTGAAAAAAATAAATAAATTAATTGAAAGTTCAATTTATTTTTGTTACATAAATTAGTATTACATCGATAATTTGATTGCTACCAGGTTTAACGCAATTTTTTTATTTAAAGAACTGTTTACATCAGAAATATTTAGAAAATCTTCCTGATTACAGTTTTATTTTTGTTGTAGCAATCGATTATATCAACTCGATTTGTCTTGAAACGATAGGGACGTCTCCAATCCTTACTCGCGCTCGATCTTTTCTTCGAGTTTTTTAGCATAAGTTGGTAAAAGTTCTATAATGTTTGGTTTTTTTATCGCATTTAAAATATTAATAGTGAATTTTAGTTCGTAAGATGTTATTTTGAGTGAGGTGTACGAGTCGAAAGCAAGAAAATTGTTCCGTGAATTAAGCGCGGGAACGCGAAAGGGTTACGGCTTTCTTGAGGATTTCTCTTTATTTGTACATCTTTTGGTTGATATTGAATCAACAAACACCAAAGACGCGTTAAAGAGTTTAAAACGCCAGCCATTTTAGTGAAAATTATTTTAAAATTATTTCGACGATTAGGCTGTATAAGCTACGACCCTTCGCCGCGACATTAAAAAAAACATCCATCTGTTTTGTTTTGTTGTGCGAGTTGTGTTCCCACTTCTAATTATTCTAATTTCGTATATATTTTGCTATTTTATCTACATACAGGCATCGATTATTATTATACATTAACTGTGTGAATGCTAAAACTATTATCTGCCATTGATACGCATAAAAACACAATGGAAAGTGTATTTTGTGTAAATTGTGGGTCCGCCGGAGTTTCTGTGGCATTAGAAAACGAGCAGATTCTACTATGTATAAAAAAATGGGCAGCACCCCGTCCGGTAAACACGTTTTTCTTCTGCAATATGATTAGATATGATTTTTAAATAGTTTTTATTTTATTCATAATAACATAACCTCCGTATTTTGCAGTGCACTTAGTTATATGTTTTGTGTATCAGTGTGTGGTTATCATAGTTCGAAATTATAACTCGTACTTATATTGTGACACCTGAGACCCTATTCTATTTGTCCCTGAACGAAAATTTCAAATCGTTCTTATAATTTTGTCAAAAGTTATATCCGCGAAGATTATCTGTGCATCAGAGGTGGTGTCTGGTCCTACCACCATTCCATTATGTATTTATCGGAAATTGCATTTCTTTGGGATCATATTAGCATTTCGAAAATTGATGAAATTTCGTTTTTATTGAAATAGAATAGGTAGGCCATTAGGTATCGTGTTAATAATTCGTAGGAGTAGTAGAAAATGTTGCGCCCTTGCGGTTATATTATATTGTTAACACCTGGCCTGAATTGAGAATTTAAAATTAAGAATGTGTCAAACAGTATTTAGTCACATAAACTCTCTCATTTGGAATCATCGTCATCTTTCATTCTTTTCATTTTACATGTAGAAATTAATTTATTTACTTGACATTGGCAGAATTCTGTGAAATGCGTAGATAAGCCATTAATAAAAGAAGAAGAAGGTTCTCATTTTAGTTTTATAATGATCAGTGACAGTAGTTCGATAAAATTAGGACTTTATGACTCGTGAAATTTAAAAATCTTAAGTTATTGAGAATATTCAGTTGAGATTTTGTTTTTTTTCTCAATTTAAAAACTGGCTGTAAAAATGGGGCAATAATGGGCTTTTAAAGAATAACAATTATTAAAATAGGATATAAAAGAACAAAGAAAAGTTAAAATACATATGTTCTGAAATATTTTCATAAAAAAAAATAATAGATGAGAGCAACCTGAAGTTTCAAGTAATTTTCGGGGCCAGAGAAGCCCCTTATTTACCCTAATCCTGTACCATTTCAAAAACAAAGACTAAAGTTAGTAAGTACTTAGTCTAAAGCTTTGAACGCCTGAACCAACAATGACTGAAGATGAATCATAAAATTAAGACATAGTGACTTATTTTGATAGGGTAACAGTTTAAACTTGATATGGAGTGTTAGTCCTTATTTTATAATTAGATGGTCAAAGTCTAAATATGTTTATAGAAAGTATAGTAGTAGGTAGTATTTTTTTTCCCTACAACTCCTTCATGATGTCAAAAAAAATTAGCAAGAAACTCACCAGCTCTATTAGAAGTAACAAAATTCACATAAACCATGTCAATACCAGTTCAATAGATTATAAATATATGAATACTTTAGATTACAATATTAATGAAGAATTCATTTTAAAAACTCAATAAACAACTTGTATTCTTTTTGTATATAAGTTTCGAAACTTTGCAAATTTCAGGTTTTTAATATGTTAGTGAAAAGGAACACAAATGACTATCTTTGGTCCATTCGTTTCTGGCAAAAATCAGCTTTTGCTAAAGTAACATGCTTTTTTTTTTTAATACTTCCTCGTTATAATTAAGAAAAAACACTATAATCTTACAATGATAGCATAATAGACAACATGATAATTTTGATAGATATAATGAGTTTAAAGAAATCACCTATCTTATTGCTGGATATCTCGAGTCCAAGTATTCTATAAAAATTATATAAAGGTAAAAGTTTATTTGTACAACAGAGTAGGCACCATTATCAAACTTGTATATATATTTTTTTAGGTGGAAGCTCGTGATCTTATATGTGCTACATGCTGGACCAAAGCGAAAGATACCATCAGAAACTGCATGATCTGCAGCAAAGAAATGGGACCTACAACTCGTACACATCAGCTAATATCACTAAAGACTAATACACAACATAATATTAACATTAAAACTGTAATTATGCAAAAACTAGCTCCATTAGAGGTAATTGACTTATACCTAAGGACACTATCCACAGTCCTTACCGTGAATGTATTATGAAACGAATGTCTAATTCGCTTATCATCATCATCATCATCATCATCAGCCCTTTTACATCTCCACTGCAAAGGCTCAGGCCTTATGGATGGTTAAGGAAGATGAGTTATGACCCTCTTATGCCAGTTGGAGTATTAATGACTGCAGATGCAGTTAAGAGCATCGGCTTAACGTGTCTTCCGAAGCACACGGAGAAGCTTGAGATAATAAAATTTTGGTCACCCATCCCGTGACAGACCCTTGCGAAAGTTGCTTAACAAAAACGATCGCGGGCCGCGGCGCTTATCCACTAGGCCACCTACTTTGCTCACTATGCCTGTATGTATAATAAAAGATAACAGTTTATAAATAATGTGTAGTGTAGTGTAGTGAACTTGTTTCTTTAATTTATTTAAGGTTAATTTTAAACATTCATGTTTTTATTTTTAAATTACTTGTTTTTAATTAATGCGTTTGAGTAAGCAGTTAATGATGTATGTATACAATTTATAATTTTTTAGGATGTTCTTTATTATGACTTAATTTGAACCCATATTTTTTCTATAATTGAAGATTGTAACTAGCGTTGACCGGGATGATGTAATGTTTCTAACCATACCCTATTCAATTATATAGGCGCCGCGGCCCGCGATAATTTTTGTTAAGCAACTTTCACAAGGGTCGGTCACGGGATGGGTGACCAAATAGGGAGGAGGATGGGAATAGGGAGGAGTTGGGCCTCCGGTACCCTAACACGACGAAACACAACGCAAGCATTGCTTCACGTCGGTTTTCTGAGGCCGTGGTATCACTCCGGTCGAGCCGGCCCATTCATGCTGAAGCGTGGCTTCGGCATGAATGGGCCCTAATAAAGGTTTATTTTAA